AACCAGCTTATAACTGAGAGTGACAGCACCCTTCATGAACACACATTTCCTGGTCTTCAAAGTTAAAACAGTTAGATTACTTCACATGAGACATTTCTGTGAAGTTGTAAAAAAAAAAAAAAAGATGTCATGGTCTTCAGTGCCCCAATCAGGATTTCGCAACATGAATCAGAATCTGATGGCTGTTCGTGGGTTGTTTGGTCACTGTCATCAAATCTGATCAAACCACAGATCCTGTTAAAAAAGACTGGCAGATTTATGTGGGATAAACTTTTATGACATACTACCTAAAGATGTCCTTCCTTTTGTAACCTTGACTGTTACTTATTTTGCTTATGAATAATTCATGTTATACAAAAATACTTAAATATTGAAGCAAAGTTTACAGGGGCTTTAAAGCTGAAAGCTCTTTGACCTCATTATTGTTTCATAGCAAAATGTGTTCTGGGGAAGAGCCAAACTTATGAGTATTCTGATTGCACTGAATGTAATTAAAAAGTTTGACTTATGAATAAAAAATCAACAATTGATGTTTTTCAACATAAAATGTTTTTTCGATGTAAAACATATAAGTCTGTTTTAATGGTGATTAAAACATTACTGATGTAAACAAACTTTAAAAGTGCTGTAAGTGGTATTTTATTTTGTTAAAATAAGTGTTTAATAACTTTACATTCCAACAACTATCACTCATATAGTGTGTAGGAAATCTACAAAGAGGTGGTCCTCTAGGGCAGGCAGCACAATTTCAGTGTTGTGATGTGGGGAGGAGGGAGGGGACTGCTAACTGCGAGAACAGACAGGAAGTAAGCCAAGATTTCGGTTTCACTTAAAGCACTTTTAACTATTAGCATCATAAAATATTAATAACTCATTATTAGTTAGTATATGTAAAGACCTGTCAGTCATTATGTGAGTAATAGCGGGGTTCCAGTCCTGTGCTTTGAAATTTGCTGCTAGGGATGTCATTTTGTTTACGTATGGATCACAAACTGTGTCTTTAAGTAAATGCAAAGCTTCAGATGCTTGGGCATGCAGGCTTTGATATTGACACATCTGCCTACTGAGCCTTCACATGAAGGCACAAAACATCAGAGCGCAGCACAACACACACTACTCAACAGGACTGTCCACAAGAGTCTCATTTTATATTCATAGTAAAAATTAAAAAGGCAATGACAGGCACTCTCTTTCAGACACACACGTAAACACTCTGAGGACGGAGAGAGGGAATGAAAGTGAGAGTGAAATGAATACATGACACCTAAATAAGTTATGGCTGTTTATCCTTTTACCAGAGAACATAGCAAACAGATAAAATAATGATGGACATTGATAGACATTACCGCCAATATATGAATGATAACTCTAACTTGAACGGAATGAGCCCGAAAAACTAAACAAATAGCATCTTAAGCTCATCAACTGCAGCTCGTGTCCATGGCTGCAGAGTAACAGAACATCATAAAAACAGAGTTACCCTGTAAGTAAACCAGACAGATGACTGCTCCTCTCCAGGCAATACAGGAGAAAATGTTACTTGTTTGAAGTGCAAGAAGCCCTCACCTCAGCCACAGGCACTCCCTCTGGGGGACGACAGTGCAACACAATCATGCCATTCAGAGGCACCTCAGTGCCTTGGGGGTCCTGCTCAAAGTTCTTCCTCAGGTCTAAGGGAGAGAATAAACAGACTGCATTAAAGAACAACAGCATGAAAGAGCACAAAAAAAATGCAATTTGTTCCATGGGTGACCTTCTTCCCCTCACACATACATACAACGACATAAAAAAACAATGCCCTCTACAAAATCATGGCACCAGTTTGAAAAATAACCTTTAAAGGGACAATAAGGTCGATCCGGTATGAAAGTGAAGTGGAATTGCTTACAGGCGATCCGGACTGTTGCCTTGCGGCTCTTGGAGGTTCCCAGGTGGCTCCAGGCGACGCACAGACACCAGTAATCCTCTGGGCCATGAAAGTCCTCCACCTGCTGACGTGACACGTTGATCATCACCTCGCGGATCTTCAGCCCTGCAGACAAGATCGTTGATTGCTTAGATTAGCTTTCATTATATCACAGGGATGATTCATCAAAGTGAGGAAGATTTGTGGGGACCGGATGATGAGTGAAATTTGAATCTGATAAGATTATCAGCAGTAAACAGATCTGCCATTTGCCAGGAGGAGAAGGAGGAGAGAACGCTAGTCAAACCAAATCAATTTCAGGGATTTTGTTTGGACAAGAATTTAAACTGTACTGTATGCTTTCATCTGGTTTAAAGTCATAGAGCTGGCCAACTCAATGCAAATCCTGACATCCATGGTCTTTTGACAAACCCTTGTTAAAACTTCAGTTTTGGCAAACAGATAGCCAGCAATGCAAAATGCTGGTTGTACTAGAAATTGTTAGTGAGCGCTCATATCCTCTTTCAGTATCTGTAAAACACAATCCATTTATACGGAAGTGACACTAAATGCTTTCCAGTGGAGGCTGTTTTTGTTTTAAGGGAGAGCGTGAGCACTCATTTTTTTCTTTGAAAACATTTGAAGGGCCTATAATTTGAGGTAGAAGAGAGAAGCAAAACAACACAATTAAATACTGCATCTGAACACAGATACTTTCTATGACAATCAAATCATCTATTTTTGCAGTAGAACTTTGACTTAATGTCACACAGGTCATTCGTTAATATCAGTATATTGTCTGTGATAATGAGCTAGGAGTGAGACGGACATTTTTTCTGGGACAACTGATGGGAATTTAAAAGCCTGGTATTACAATTACGCGAGACTACGCACAAAAGATGACAGGCTCGGACCATTTAAGTATGATAGGTGGCTTTATTGGGTATCTAGGAAATTGCAGCTTTCAAACCAACACGTGTGATGTCTGTCTAGCACGGCAGAAACCTGAATTTCAGACACCCAACTTGAATAGATTTATTAATATATGAATACAAAGTTATGAACAGCTAACTTTTTGATTTTCAAGTGTCTGACCTCATCACTCCCCACAGCATGCGATTAAGAATGCAAAGAGGGGGAATGGGGAGTGTCAACAACAAAAAGAGAACCTATGGGTGGATTCTGGGGTGGAAGTGGTGCTGATTAAATGGATTATATGAGCAACAGTGATGTAGTTGTGTTGCTACAGTGGAAGGAACAGCGGGAGCAGAGCACTGCTCGCAGGCTCTTTACTTTCTTCTGCTTCACAGACCTGCCATTCTCTACCTTTGTGCCAGATGCTCTCAGACACACGTGATCCTCCTCTCATCAGTCCTACAGTTTACCTGGCCTACTCCGCCTACTCCTCACCAGCAACTAATTCCATCATCAGCCACGATATACATCAAGTCTACTTCCTTTGTTCCTTGTCAGGTTGTTAAGTTGTTGATTTGTTGTACCTGAGGCCTGTTACCTGCTTGTTTTGGACCTTTGTACCCTTGGATCATTAAATCCTTGAACTGCACCCTCGCTACATCTGTCGTCTGCATCTGAGTCCTATCCACTGTATTCCTGTTCCCCTGCACATCAGTCGTGACACAAATGGAGTGTGTGGGAGTAGAAGTGCGATTCAACAGTCTTTTTTTCACCTTTATTTATTCAGAGGAGTTTTGCTGAGAGATCACATTCAAAGAAAACACTCACAGAATTCTTCCTCATGTCGGATCAGCCAAGTTGTTAGTGGAAATGCCCAACTTTTGACTGTATAAGCATTACATTTAATACATTGGAACAAAATGCCATAAGCTAATTATATTTTATGGCAGAAGTTTGAATTCCTAAGATATAAAGGACCAGTGCGTAGGTTTTTGTGACATCTAGCAACACGATTGCAACCAACTAAAACCTGTTGACTCCTCCAAGTGTGTAGGAGAAACTAGTGGCCTGAAAACTTGCAAAACACGCACAAGGCCCCATCTAGAGCAAGAGTGGGCTACTGTAGAAACATGGTGGTGGAAGAGGACAGCACTAACCCCAGTGACAGTGAATACATTGCGTTTCACTGCTTCACAATAAAAAGCACTGTGTTTTTTTTTTTACCAGTTGAAGGCTTTTACTGTGCTAGCAGCAGTAGGAAATGTTTGCTTTGCATTAGCAGTAAATAAAAGCTATAATAAAAGCTATGATACAGCTGTAGAAGATTTAACAGTGAACAGTAGGGCTCATATCAATGAAATAAAGTTTCAAATAGTAATGCTGAATTACATACTGCATTTCCTGTGAATCCCTCATGCGTAGGTAGGCAATTTGAATCCCGCGCACTACTGACAAAAAAAACTGTAGAGTACATAATGCAAATATATACCTGAATGATCCATGTCGTTAAACGAAATCACTAAGTATATAACCTTAAGTGGTTATTTAATCTATTTCTACAACCTTATGATAATATCAGTGCCATTTTCTGAAGGCAGTAAATCAATAAAAGTTATACTTTACACTGATTTTTAGTGAAGCTAACAAGTCGTGCCTAACAACACATCTCACAGCAGCTGTTCAGAAATCACTATAAAGCTCGGCCTCTTGTGGCTTATTGCTTAATTACGCAGCCCTACACTTGTAGAAGAGTTGTCTCTCTACAGGCTTTTGCCATCATGCCTTACACTGCAGACAGCAGCTTAGACATGGGCCAGGATTAAATGAAAACTAATAATGTGAAATTAAAGGTTATCAAAGGGAGCCTAATGAAGTAATGTAAAACAGAAATGTTCTCTGAAGACACTGTAAAATATTTAATGTACCAATACACACCCACCACACACACACCACACACACACACACACCACTCCATCTACTCCTCCTTTCCACCACTATAAATTAGAGACTTAATCAAAATGCCTGATGAGGTGAGAGTGATGCAGATTTAACGACAGGAAAATAAAAAGACAAGATTGTACTCTGGTCATCACATCATGAGAAAAATGCAGTGTCAGTGTGCTATTGTCCTCTTTGGGCTCAATGCAGTAGACATGCAAACAAATAAGAATGCATTACTATGCATGAACAGACAATGCAATCTGAACACATATGAACAGCGTCTGTCTTTTTATTATATATATATATATATATTATCTTTTTTCAGTAAATATTTGTGCCCCCTCCCCCCTGACCTGGCCCCGATTGAACAATTTGTCACAAGCTCCAGCATTTCTTCTCAGAGTCATAACTCAGTCAAATTGAAAACACAAAGACATCATACACATACTGCTACAGTCAGCAGAATTCCCTTTTTACAGTGGTGTCAAATCCATAAATCTCTTTAGAAATCATATAAAAGGCACCATATATTCGTATAACTTCAGATTTTAGCTCATCATCATTGTGTTTAGACTTTTTCACACAATAATAGATTTGTTGTGCAGTATAAAGCTTGACATGTTCCACAGGTGTTATTTTTAACTAATGATTATTTATTGAATGTGCCTGACTTGACAGTAGATGAGCTAAAACAGACCTTAAGGAGATGTTTGCTGAATTTGAGAAAAAAAGTAGTCCACTGCCCATTATATACAAAAAGAAAAAGAGAAAATCCCAGGATGGTCCAGTACAATTATGACTTGTACTGTATTTTCCCACTGCTACCTCACATTTTATTATATAACTATTCATAATTTATTTAAACTATTCTAAATTTGCTTTTCAATCCGGACTCTTTAAACCATTACACAGCTTTTATTATGACTCAGTTTGGCCTTTTGTATCCCATTTTTGAATGTAGACTTTAAATACATTGTGTTTTATTGTTTAATTAATTTAACTACATGGTACAACATTATATTATTATTTTGTTGGCAGCTACATATACGTATATGGAGTATATAAATAGTAGTATAAAGCAATTTAATACAGAAAATGTAGCAATCTAGGCAATTTCTAATAATTTATGGTATAAATCTGAATGCAGATATGAAGACTGATATTTTTGTGAAATAAACAGATTCAGATAGTAGTTTGGTGTTACACTCTACAATGCATTGAATTTAGTGCTTCACTGATGGTTGTATTTCGTCCAGCTCAGTAACATTATTCAGTTGACCTTCTTTCATGTAAGTATGGTGTTCAGAATGGATAAATAAATAGAAATACTGTTTTGGTCAATATAGGGATATGTGTGAGGAGTCTTACAAATGTGAATTTGGAATTTAAAATTCTTGTAAGCAACTGTTAAAAATAACTAACCTCACACCTTCATATCTGTCTTTGATATAACCAGAAAACTTCAGTAAGTGCTTTTTGACAAGCAATTTCAGTACTGGATTGTGACAATAGCCTAAAGCACTAAGGAGACTAGGGAATTGCACGTTGTCTCTTAATTCACAATGTCTATTTCACAATCAGACCTCCTCATCTTTATTAATGATAAAGCAAACAGAATAAACTAATGAATAAACAACAATCTACTGTTGCTGATGCAATGTGTTGTGCTGAAAGCAAACAAACTGACTCAGAGGGTGTAGTGAGCTACAGCTCTGCAGATTCACTCCAAAAGATCTTTTTCTGGCACACAGTGAAAACATTTCTGACCACTACATAAAAAATCACATAGGAAAACAAAAAGTGATGCTTCCTGTATTGTCCCATTTCATATTACAATGCAACTGTGAAATAATAATAATAAAGAATCTGTGTTCCTAAATGTCTACACACGAGTATTCCAAAACAAATGCATGAAATACTAACAATAAATATACACCACATGGAAGAGTGGCTATTGTTTGAGTGAGGGCCATGGTGTTTCTGCTGAAGGCGAGATAAACAAAGGACAGGAATCAGAAAGACACTCTGACTCCCAGGTTCCCTCACATTTGGCAGTGAGCAAACAAGCTTAGTCCCTTTTCCAAGTAGCCTGGAATCACACTCAGTGACACTATGTTAGAGAAATTATCCAATAACTACTCGGTCATGTTGATGACATTTGGTCCCTTCTCTGCATTCAGGAATACAAATGTCTATTCAGCTCCTTCCATGAGCCTTTCCCTAGACACTTGTTTTTTTTTGCCTTCCCCTCAGGCTCCTGCCAGTGGCTTTTGACAGAGCGCCACAAAGCCCTGACAACAAACCTCAAGGTGGAGCAGCTTTCACTTGCCCCTTCAATCATGTCCTTTAATATGCCTCTAATGTAGCCACTATAAAGGAGTCAGGAAGAGATATACCAATGCTGATGCTCACTTATCACGTTGCTCTCGTTCTCTTTTTTAGTCTCTCTTTTTGTTCGTCTGGCACTGTGCCTGCGGTGTGATTTCTCCCGGCTTTGGCCCATTGTTTTGCCTTGGCTGAGTGTATGAAAAGGCCTCAAGGGAGGCAGGCAGCGCCAGCTACAAGTGGCTCCTGATCCGAGCAGCTCAGCAAAACTCGAATGGTCCGGCTCAGCTCAAACAGGTCCAGGATGTCTCTGTCGTACTTAACGTCATGTTGGATGGGGATTTTCGGTATTTCGTTTGTCCGAGGGATCCTTGTGAGGCAGCTGTGTACATAGTGGGTGACACAGCGTGGGTTGCGGGTTGAGGTGGATGGATATAGCTTTAGGAGAGCGTCTGACTGATGTGAACTCTGCTTTGGGGAAATGTTTGTGTGATGTGACATTGCGGCATGCAGCTCAGCATGTGGGGGATGTGAGGGTTGGCTGAAGGCCAGACACAGACGAACCCTGCTAGACAAGCGGAACATGCTCCTAGCAACATCTTCAGTCTGGTCCCAGCTGTGTGTGTCATACTTAATCCTGGAACCAAAGGGACGCATTACTCCATGCATATAAAAAATCATGATAATTCAGCCATAAAATGCTGCGAGTCCTTATTTGTGTCATTCCCCCAGTCGCCTTGTTTATGTTTATCCAAAAACCACGTGTCTGCTTATTAGGAGCAAGTTTTGCATATACAAGTAGCTTTCACTCTGTGGGCCACTTCATTTGTTTCACTTCCATTTCCTTAACTAATAGTTGGTGACACTGAGAGACTCAGAGGCATCTCACTTTCCCTCACCAGTCCCCACCTTTCTTTCTTTGTCGTGAGTTCATGCCTGGTTGATAGTATCTTTAGCTGGCTAGGATCATAATACAAAACACTGGAGTCAGTCTTTGACAGAGCGTCAACAAGAATTGATATCCATACTTCCTCTGTCCACCCTGCATTCAAATGCTTTCCCTCAATCACTATCTCTTTATCACTGAATCTGCAGGATCTGCTATCCTCTCCTTCTCGTGACAACCAATGTGGTATCCATTTTCAGCTTCTCTTTCACTTTCCCACCGCCCTCTCCATTTCCAATGTCCTCTTTCTCACTTATCCCCTCTTTCTCTTATCTCTCCATCTGGGTATCATCCTTTCAGCTGAAGTCTATAAGCACAGATATCCCCTCTGTTCCACCTTCCTCTCTGCTCTTCTTTCAGTCTGTCCTTCAATAATCTCCTGAGTTCTATCACTCATTTCCATCTCTCACCCATCTTACAGCATTTCACCAGAGAAAAATAAAGTTGTCTTCAGTGATAGGTCAGAGTATGCACTGTGCTGCAAAGGAGTCTGTGTTTTGTTTACAGCCATTGCCCTTCTTTTATTTTGTCTTGGGAATTTCAAGTGAAGCCTATTCCTCTGTAAATAACAGAAACTGACTGATTTACTGTCTGTAAAGACGTGATACAGCTTCCTAAGATCATTCTAAGGAGTTTATCGGTGCAAGCTGTTTTCCTGAAGGGAGGTTAAAATCTGGGTAGCGATGATTACATGGAATATCCAGCTGAGCGTTGTCTGCCTGTGGTTTATCAAACGGCTTAGCAATTGCAAAGGGATAAAGAAATAACATTGTTGTACTGAATTTGAAGATAGACTGTACTGTGCAACAATAATAATCTTAATCCAGACTTCAGATCAGCGACATAGCAATGTAGTTAAAAAATTAAGTATTTAGGATGTGAAACATTCTGTGCTATAATTTCGTAATTCCTATTCTACACTTTCAATCCCAGAATACAGTTTCAGGCATTGTCTTGCATTAGGCTGGACAACCCTTCACAGCCACAGGAATCACATAATATCTTAGTATGTTTTTGAACAGGAAACTTGAATATGTTCTCTACAGACAGCCCTCTCCATTTGTGTTTATGTGGGGCAGCCATTACTGTCAGTCCTGATCAGCATCCTGTTTCATGGTTCAGGTGAGTCCAGTTGGTGCTAAAGTGGGGGCACACAGAAATTAATGACAGATTTTGATGCTTGCAATATCATAGTATCCTTTCTGGATGGGCAAAACCCTCCCTCCTCTTGTGTGTATACAATACATATTTACCCTTTTCTCAAATAGTTATGCATACCCATAAGGAAACTTGCTACCACCACAAGGAATGCTCAGAATTGCTTCTAAAATGAGTGGGAAAATATCTTTATTACATCCAAACTGATGAGATTCTGTAAATTCAATTCCATTTACTTACTCAAATTCCCCCTCTGACTCAACAGATGTAGACTGCAGCAATAAGCCTCCCACTGGCCGACTATTATATTCTGTTTCCCTCTGCCTACTCTCGGTCTCCGTTATTGTTTTCAGTGAAAAGTAACAATGACAAGAAGCTGATCTAGCTAACAACAACCTACACTCTGAAATGTTGACAAAAAACTTGTGAAAGTTGTGGATAAGAAAGGTAATTACTGAGTAAAAAATGAACTTAGAAAAAAATCTCCAGTGTTTACAAGCATCAGCTGCTCAAGTAGTGAACCCTCAATGGGTCTAATTACCCACTAGAAGTATGGCTATGTGATAAAAATCACAAAATTTGGTTTGGCTATAACACAAAAGTAGTAACAGGCCAAGGTTTGCCGAGACTCAAGCATTTCTTTTTACTGTTCTTAGTCAATTCATTAATCACATGCACGTAAACACACATAACTGTTTTTTACCAACCAGTGAAAACCATGCATCTCCAGTTTTCTTAGAAAAACTGAAAGTGTTAAGTGTTCCTTAATAAGTGAGAACATTCTTCCACTTCCTAAGCTAAATAAACTCACTAGAGATCTTCAATCAAAAGAGTCTGGATTTAGTAAGTTGTTTTGGACTTCTGTCTGTCTTGTAGGTTATTGACTTGGACTTCAGTGCAGTTGAAGGGGATACCAAGCCAAAGACAGTATGGGAAAGCTTGACTTGTCATCCATTAGCATAAGCATTAACTAGCCGTATTGTGTCTATATTAGGGAACAATATTTTGTAATCAGCGTTTTTTTGTTTGCTATCCCACCAACTGCCGAATTTCCTGGCACTGCAAAGATTAGCACATGCAACACTTTGACACGTTGGTGTTTTTTTTGGGGTATTTTCATACCCAGCCTGTTTGACACAAAGGGGTGAGGAGAGGCACAAACAGACAGTAACTTTATTCAAATGAGGCAGCACAAAGCACAGTGTTGGTATTTTGGTGAAAACTGCATCATAGATGTGGTAAGAACAGACATCCAAAAACTGGGTTTGTTTTTGGTCCAACCTCACTGAGCTGATAATTTGGTGATTCCAACCACGAGCAATAAAAAGTTTTAATTAAACACTTGCAAACAAGTAGATGTGATTTCAGAATAACCCTGCAGGAAGTTAAAATTAATTGGTAGTATGTACTAGTATCTGTCATCTACAGGTGCTTTATACTGAAATATGAAAGCCTTCTCCTTCAGTTACTGTAATTAAATCCCTAAAACCATCTGAAGGCAGCAGGACAAATATATGCGATAAATCTGCATCTTCCAATTTGAAAAGTAGTGCACTGGGCAGAACAATGGCACACTGTAAACCACTGTGATTGCAATGATTAAATCACATGCAAACAACAGCAGGTTCCTGCAGACCACACGGACGTCTGCATACATCAAACTGGTCGGTTGGTACTTTATGTGATATCCTGTGGATGCCCTGGACACAAGCAACTCACAGTAAAAAAAACCCAGAGACAATTAAAAGTTCACTCTGTTCTCATTATTACTTATTCTTGCTCTCTCTGTCTTTCTCTTCTTCTCTCTTTCCCCGAAAAACACTGGATTACCAGCAGGCAATATTCCCGTGCGTCATGGCCTCCTTTTTTGTCTGGCAAAAATGGCATCTCATTTCAATTCCTGAAATGCATTTTTAGCTGTGAGATGATGGGAAACAGCAGAACCACACATACATTTTTTCATTTATCCAATTTTAAACAAATTAAACAAACAATTATTGTTTACTCTTATTTATTTCTATGGTTACTGTACGAAACGCATTGAAGCCTACAACAGAGTGTGTAGGTTAAGTACAGTATATCACTGGAAAATATCAGTGAAAACATGACATAACTCTAACTCTGCCCTTTCAATATATCCACAATTCGTCTTCAAAGGCTGCACCATCTGCCTTGGCAGCAGATTTGTTGTACTTTATTATATTCACCTCTACAAACTCTGCATCATTCATACATTATTTTCCTACTTGGAGAAACTCTCGCCCGTCCTTTTAGTGAGCTATTTTCAAAATGCCATTCTGATTGCCACAGCTGTTCAAAAGGAATAAGACCCGTAATGAGACTGGCTGAGAGGTTTTAATGCTTCTGTCTCTGTCTGCTTTAGTTCTTACCTCACTGTTTCAAAGTTTTCATAAACCCATCAAAAGCTTCTTACTGTTATGCCACAATATCTGGGTCTCTCAAGAGTCTTTGCTTGTAGGCAACCACATAATTGTGTATTTACAGGGAAAGTTTTGGGAAATGCGTATTTGCTTCCTTGCAGAGAGTAAGAGAATATCAATACCAATCTTATGTAAGTATGTTAAATATAAAGCTACCACCAGCTATGGATGAAACGATTTCTGGTTTAATGATAAACTGATAAAAAATAATAAAACATTCCCAATGGTTAGTACTACCGTTTCAAATTTGAATTACCATTAAAACCCTGTTTGATTAGTTCACAAATTGATTGATTACTGATCAACTTACAGTTGTGATATGAAATTTACATACTGTTTCATCTCTACGCCAGATTAGTTTAGCACAAAGACTAGAAATAGTTAGCTTGACTCTTTCAAAAGCTAAACAAATCCACATACCAGCACCTCTAATGCTTGCTCATGAACACTTTATATCTTGTTTCTTTAATTCACACAACAACCAAATGCAATGAGAAACATTACCGTTTTCCGGGGAGTTATGTGCCCGACTATTTCATCGTTGGGATTACTAGCTTCCTGGAGTTTATTTGTAGTTTTTAGTGGTTTGAAAGATGTTTACTTCATTGTACAGATTATTACAGATACATTATTTACAACTTACAGAAATTCACAAAATTCAAATGAAGAGGTACATGAATCAGTCATGAGCAGTGGGGAACCAGAATGTTTTGGTCAGAAGTAAAAGCTGCAGTAGGTCATATTTGCTTAAACCTCTCTCACTATAGCTTGACAGGAGTACATGAGGCAGATAATCTAGAAGGTACCTCTGGCTCCTCTTAGAGCCCCAATGGCATTTGCAAGAATCCACCATGCCTGAAAGAAAACAACCAATCAGAGCCAAGAAAGATAGTTGATTGTTGAGTATCATTCCCAGGTCCGCTGCACGTCAGATGGTTCTGGCCTTCATGTCGTCTATTAATTCTTGATAGCGGACACCTTGTCAGGCATTATCCCTTACATAAGACTCAATTACTATCTTTCTTGGCTCTGATTGGTTGTTTTTGTGTATTCTTGCCAATTCCATTAGGAGCACTGGGAGGAACCAGAGGAACCAGATTTTTGTCTCATGTACTACTATCCAGACATAGTAAACATTACACCAAATATGACAAAAAGTTTTTTGCAGTACCTACTGCAGGTTTATACGGAGCCCCTAAAGGGACATGGGAAAAAAGCACCAGAAAGTATCTCGTGCTCACGAGAAACCTTAGGTTAAGTACAGGCAGTTGTGCTTCCTGTGTGT